TACTGAAATAAATGAACTTTTCCACGACATTCTAATTTACTGAGATGCACCTGTATATATTAAAATATATATATATATATACATATATATATAATTTATATTATATATAAATATAAATATTTTATATATAAACAACATATTTTTCTTAAATATATACATGCATGTGTGTGTATTTATATATACATAATAAATATACACAGTACACACGCATATATTATGTAAACAAAAAAAACTATTTTGGATGAGATTAATCGCAATTAATTGTTTGACAGCACTAATTTAAATGCATTTTAATTCAAACATTTTATGGATATGGTGGCTTCTGGCAAGTTAACCCATATTAATTGTATTAAATGTTGTAATAGCTAGTTTGGTGGACTCATTAGTTGTTATAGTAAATTTAAATAATATGGTAATTTATGCAGGGTTGATCAATCTTTGTCCACACCATGAATAATGACAGTATCTCTGTTTCCACACTAACAAATTCACTACTGTGTAAAGCACAAGAATCGAATGTGTAATAACTATTGTTATAAAGGTCAAATTACCATTCAAACAAATACAGTGCATAAGCTGAAAAAAAAAGAGTAAAGTTTGTTGAGACAAACTTTGATGTTGGTTTGAGTAAAATACTGTTAAAATCTTAGAAAAGTTTAAAGGGGTCATATGATGCAATTTCAAATTTTCCTTTCTCTTTGGTGTTACAAGCTGTTTGTGCATAGATAAGATCCCTAAAGTTGCAAAGCCTAAAGTCTCAAACCCAAAGAGATATTCTTTATAAAAGTTAAGACTCGTCCACGCCCCCCTAAAACGCCTCGTTCTAACACGCCCCCACATGTCTACGTCACTGTGTGGGAAGATTTGCATAACGCCGCCCAAATTTTCACTCAAAGAAAGAAGGCGTAACTTTTATTCTCGCTGTAGTATTTTTGTTGCCGCCATGTCGTGGAGACGCTGTGTGTTTTGTTGTGAAAGCGAAACTGCTTTGTTTGGCCTTCCAAAAGAGGATGATTATACTTTGTTTGGTTTTCCAAAAGAGGACACGACTACAAATCAGTGGTTAAGTTGTATTTACAACACTGTTCCAGAACAGTTCAACCCAAATATTCAGATGTGTGCAGTGCATTTTATGGAGGACTGTTTCCTGAACCTGGGAGAGTAGACTACAATGCCGGCTGTGCACAAATAAAGTGGGGCAGTTCCAAATTTGCATGGACAGTCTGGCGCTTCTGACTCACAGTCTGTAAGTACGTTTTTTATATTTAAAGAATTTGCCACTGACGATTCAAACATGAGTTTTGAGCAGTGTAGTATAGCGCTTGTTGTTTGTCGTTTCTCCAATCACAAATGCAGACATGGTTTTAAGTTTACGCAACGCAACGCGTAAAAAGACAGTATCATTATATAAGTCATTATAATTAGTAATTAGGTCCCCACTGGATGCAACAAATGCCTGGTTTGTAATGGGTTTTATTGATGTTGTCTCATCGCGCTGGGACAGGGCATCACAATATGGTAAGGGGCGTAACAATCAGAGCACACCTCGCTTTTCAGACCGATGAGCTTTGTAAAAATCGACGCGTTTCAGAAAGGCGGGGCATAGAGGAGAAACAATAATGTACATTATGTGAAAAATAATGTGTTTGTTGAACCTTAAACCGCATAAACACATTGCATTACACTAAATACACAACATAATGTTCTTTTTAGCAACATCACATGAACCTTTAAAGGTTTTACAAACCCAAAACAGACAAATTGACCATCAAATGAAATCATCACTGAAATCAAGTCACGCCTACAGGTTTGGTGTGTTGGTGGTAGTTCAGTGCTGGACTAGTAATCTGCACATCATAGGTTCAAACCCACAAGGGGTGATTCATACACATCAACGTTCATCAGCTAACAGGGAATCTTCTCACAACTTTTTCTAATGTTTTTTAAAAGTTATATAAATGTTAGAACAAAACGTTCTTAAAGTAATATTTATGGAACGTTCTTATTATTAATATTTGATATATGTTCTCATAACGTTGAGAGAACATGTTCTTAACATCCTCAAAATGCCCTCGTGATGTTATTTGCACTTAATGAACGTTCTGATAATGTTGAAGAGAAAACGTTCTTAAAATATTAAAAATACATGTTCAAATAACGTTTTATTTTGGGTGAAAATGTTCCCACAACGTTTTTATAACCTAAATTTGTTATCTGCGTATAGTGGAGTCCCTTAATCACACTGTAAAAAAAGTGGTAGCCTGAATTTAACTTTAAGATCTATTTATACCTTATTTAGACCTGAATAAAAGCATTTACACAGTTTACAACAATTAGCTCCAGTTCTCGAATCTGATTGGCTGGGCGGAGTTTCCGCAGGGCTTTTCGGAGTCGGACGTTTGTTTGTGTCACTCAGAGTCCGCTCGTCCGTGACCATAGACTGGTGTTTGTTGCGCCTTGCAGTCTGGCTGTGTTATTATTAGTGATGATGTTTTTTTTTTCTTTCCTCAATTTATATAGTTATACCCAGTAGGTGGCGATAAGTGACCGTATTTGTGAGTGAGTCACTCACGGAATCATTTATTCAAACACTGGTTCAAGAACGAAACGTCGCTTGCTGACACGAAAATGGTTCTGTTGTCGTTTAGCTTGCCTTGGACTTTTATATCCGGCCCGAAAACAGACAACATAACTGTCAATATTGTGCCTAACATGTGTTGTTCAACTCTGCTGTATTTAAGCAATATCACACAATTTAGCTGTCTCAGAAACAGCCCAAGCCGTCTTGACTCGTTAGTTGTAACGTGACGTTTTCTTAGTTGCATATTTTTAATCAAAATTCTGCTTCAAAGTAAAAATAACTTACCAAGGAAAAATGAAGACTTTCATTTGATTTGGTTAGTCATAGTGTCATATTTTTTATGTTATGTAATGTAGGCTATATGTATGATATAGGTTGGTGATGAAATTTGTTTAATTCATATGAGCAGAAGTTTATTAACCAAATGGAAGACCTTATGAACGATGTGAGGTCCAGCTTTATGCTGAGGTTATTAGTCTGACGTGTTTTCATGTTTCACATCTGTCACGCTTTCTCACATCTTGTAGGTTACTTTAAGGCTTTCTGGGTTGGTTACTCACCTTCCTGTCTAAACAGATACTCTGTCAGAGTGAAGCAGAAGTTGGATGCCATAAATGATGACATGAAGCAGAGTTGGAGTATTTTATGTTATCATCAACTTGTAAGTCTATGAATACAAATCATACTATTGCTCCTCATTCATGACTCTTGAGCTAAAACTGAACAACATCTCATCATGACTGTGTCAACACTGTGTTTGGATTTGGTACGTATTTAATTTTTACTAGCATTGTTGTTGTTACCTTTCCTTGGACAGGTTGAGCTATAATTGCTATCTTATTATAAATGTTTGTACCTCGTTACAAAATTGGAAAGCCCTCAGTTTCAACTGTTATTTTTATTTATTTATGTATTTTTTCCATTTCTGATTATAGATTGTTGATAAGTACTTTTTCAATAACCACCATCCTGTTACAATTACCAGTCTTAAAATGCCAAATGGCTACATACTGTTGTGACACGTTTGGTTAACCTCAACAACAATAGCAACATTTGCGTTTAATTAAGCTTTGCAGACGTCTGGTTAAATAGATCATTGCTATCTGTTATATTATATACTTTGTGATATGTGGGCAAAATATATATTTTATTATACTATATTTAATAAACAACAAATTATCTTTGGTAAAGGTCTGTTTTATTTATTTAATAAAATGAGTACGATGACAAGCTTAAAATCCATAAATAATAAAAAGGTCTTTAAGGGTTTAAGGCCTCAATACAAAACAGCATGGATTCAAAAGTGTGGGTGGGATACAAGGAGCTAAAAAAAAATTATAAATGTATTAGTTCTTTAGATATAAATATAAGAATAAATATTAAAAATATTTGAAATAAATTTGTCAAACTTTAACTTTAAAAGGTCCTTTCTGTATTCTTGCTTCTAGCTTGAAATGGTGGTGTTTATCTCTAGTAATTGTTCATTGTACAGCATATTTCTATACACTTTAATCATCAAATGTGACAAGAACTTGGATTGCCTGTCCTTCAGTTTAACAGACTCCTGCATATATTATATTTTATGTTTATTGGCTAAATATTTTTTTAAATATTGGATAATTATTTTTCAGATGTGTAAGTTTAAGTGGGATATCCTATATATTTCATTATGGTAGTAATGTCTAAATAGAATCATTTTTCAAAGTATATCCCATCAGGACCAAGTGTTTATATCAAGAGCTTTCCTAAGATTGTGCTGCAGAAATGTAAGGGGTTTTCAAACTGACCGTTTGTAGACATTGTCACAGAAAATGTGTAAAAACTTGTGTAGAAATATTACTTTATTATTACTGAGATGAAGTTACTGAAAATTATGACATTAATCTCAATTAATCTCGACAATGTCTTAAACAGTTCTCAACTTTGCTAAAATACCAAAGCAAGTCAGATATTGTAGTATAAACTTAAATATTTCTCATCAAATTGTCTATTTCTAAACGTCAATTTGACAGCTCTGTACTTTTAGTGTATGTCGACAATTGCCTGTCAACATTTATTTTAGAAGAAACAATGTTGATACCAATGTGTGTGTATTTGAAGCATTGTCCTTTCTGTATATTATCACATTTAAAATATTTCTCAGTAAGTATCTAAAATGTACAAGGGAATTTGATATTTGGGGGTCTTTTTAATAAACAAACAACTATTTAATAAACAACTATTTCCGTTTTTTAAGTGGAGTATTTAGGTATTTAAATATGATGGTATTTCATATTTTCAGAAGACATTGACATTTATTTGATTGCAGTTAATTGTTTTTATTTCAGGTATGTATACTATTTATAGCTTCCCAATGCCAATGCCAAAGTAAAATTCCACCCTTGAAAAATGGAAGTTGTTCAGCAGGTAAACAGACATGCCTCCCACTAACTAAAATAAAGACAATAGTAAAACCACATGACAAACACCCATTATGGATGGACCTTTGTGGAATAAATATAATATATTTGCTGAAAAGAAATTAACCAAAATTCAAGTGTTTTATCTTATTATTTTGACCTTTCCTCCAGGATATTACAAATTACAACATAACTGTGTGATGTGTGGGAACAATTCTTACACTGCCTTACCAAATAATCTAAAATATTGTTTAAGATGTACGCCATGTGATTGGGATGGTAAGTAAAATACCAGAATGCATTTATTGAAATAATCGAATGAATGCATGTGGAATTTAGATATTTGTAATTTATAAAACTGTTGAAAGGTGGGCTTTCATCCAAATATAAGACTCCTGGTTTTACAGCTCATGAAGTAGAGGATATCACCAAAACCTGTACACCAACACAGGACAGAGTCTGCGTTTGTAAAGCTGGGTTTTACAAGAATAATGGTGACTGTAAACCCTGTCCCATTAATGGTAAGTACCATTAAAGGAAGTTAAATGTATGGCCAAAGGATACAAGTGATACTTTCTGTTGTAAATAAAAAAACTAAAAATTAAATATCCTAAACACCTTGTGGCTAGGAAACTGTAACTGAATAGTTTCTTTTTCCTTTTGTGTTACTCAGGTTTGAACTGTAAAGAGAATTGTACCCAACAAACGACTATTAAAACGACTATTAAAACCACAACAGTAGTTTGTGGGATTGGCAATTTCTCGGATGGTGGACAGTGCCAAAGCTGTGTTGAGTATGGAGTCTAATATTCACTTTTTTTCTGTACATCTTTTGAATCTTGATGGAATTTTGGTAAATTACTCTATTTGTGGAGAATAATAATTTTTTCATTATTCAAGTCTTTAGCATTTAGGTTAATGGGTTGTGGTTTTCCTTTGCATAAGGTTTAGCATCCACATCAGAATCTCCTGCATTTGTAATAATGTTTGCCAGCGTTATTGAGATGGTCCTCACTGCAGAACACAAGATCCAGGGGGCGAGGTTGGATCCAGATCCAACTCCTCCCACCTTACATATACCTAAACCTATCCATCTCCACCCCCTGATCCCTAAACCCACCCATCTCCCCCCCTAAACCTACCATCTCCACCCCCTAGATGTGGATCCAACCCCGCCCCCTGGATCTTTGTTCTGCAGTGTGGGGCTACTGTCGTTATTAGCAATGAAACACTATTTCAGGTACCAGCACACCAAAGAATATAATGAATTGTTTTAAAACTTGTGATAATTTTTATATATTGTAAATACAATTGTATATTTATTGTTATGTTTTGCAGATATTTGTCATGAAAGTGTCTTGGGTCAAAGTACATGTTAAGTATAAATGTTCTATTGATTAATGTAATTCGTTTCAGGTCTAAGTGCAAGAAAAAGTCCTGTAAATCTTTTTGTAGTCCTACCACAGTTGAAACAAAAGGTATCACAGCATCCTAACATGTATAATTAGAAATATTTATATTTGCAAACCTTTGAAGTAAGAAATACAGAGGTAAAATTTTGTGTGACATATATTGTCCCTTTTCTTAGGATATTCTGACCCGCTGTTGCTGGTGTTACTGATCATTGTGACCTTATTGGGTGGTCTTCTCTGTCTTCTTCTCATCTGGTTCTGCAGACGGAGATGGCTTTGCCGCCAAGCCAAAATCTGGCATGTTGGCAAACATCCAAAATTTCAGATTCAACCAGGTTCACATACACTTACATGTACTTGATTTAGATTAATGAAGCTTGCTATACCTTTAATGGGGCCTTGACTCATTACAGAGTGAAGCGGCTTAGCATTGTTTTGTTTCTGTTAATTCTGTGGTTTGAGTTCTTTCTTAAAATAGGAAATGCACATTGATTTAGGAAATCTGTATTCTGTAATATTCGAGATAAGTGAATTTTGTCTTTGTTTCAGCAGATCAACCTAATGATGTAATCAGCATTCCCAGAGCAATGGTTTGTAATTTTTTGATTTAACATGTTTCTGATGTTATGTACAATTAAATTACAAGGTGGAAATGATGTTGAGGATTTTTTTTCATGTGTTCTAACATTTTAAGTGATAAGCATCACCTTGATAACCATTTGTTTGTCTTTAAAGGAAAGGAATGGAACCTCTATCAAAACTTTACCAGTGACCAGCTACCCACACAACGTCCTCAGTGGAGATTTACAGAGCATCATGGCCCCCCTGATAGCAAACGGAAACCCAAAATGTAATTATATAAAACATTAAAGGGGTCATGTAGGGCTCAAATAGAGAATCAAAATGTTCTTGATATTTACATTTATAAGAGATTACACTACAATAAAAACATACTGCAAGTTTAAAAACTCAAAACTAACTCTCTAGTTTAAAATATAAATGACTTCTTTCTACCCTTCTGAAACACCCGGATTTGAAATCTGGAGAATCGTGATTTCACAATTTCCCCTCAACACATCCCTTAACATGCGTCATCGTCATATGTAATGTTTTCTATTGCTGTGTCCCAATTTGCCGACTTATACTATGCCCTAAAAGTATGCACTCTTTTTGTGAAGAAAAAGTACATATTTTTGTGTGTGTAGCAGAAGCACGAGCTTTGGGACGTACTACTTTGTTGCAATTGTGTCTTTAATGGACCGCTTTGTAGCTTAGTTACGTGTATTCTGTCATTGTTTAAGCTGCCATGTCAATCATCTTATCACAGCTAACATCCTCCACATTTCGTTTAATTTAATTTATTGCCATATTGAATGAAGAGGCACATTGATCTGCCAGTCACAGGTCTTTCATGCCGAGAACTCTCCTCATGTGTTTGCATAATGATGCATTTTAATTAATCTTAATATTTTTCAGTAAAGTTATATATAATTAATCATGCAAACCCTTTATCTAAACCCTTAGATATGCCAGGAGTAGTACTGGTAATTTTTCCTTCTCTTTTACGAGTACTGTGAATTCGGACATACTTCTCTTGTCACATAACAGTTAATGTTTTTCACATAGTAGGGAATTATGCGGTTTCAGATGCAGCCCTGCACATTTAATTTTCACCAGAAATAGCAGACCATCCGGTATGGGATACTCATTTCAACATACTAGGATTTGGGACACACTAATTCTAATTTTGAGTACTATTTAGGACAGATAGTATGTAAATTGGGACTGGAGCAGTGAAGATCAGCTTGAATCTATCAGTGATTTCTGTATTTTCACCAAAACTTCCATTATAATCAATGGCAAAGTTTACACTGCTCAACGAGTCTCTTATTTACATTGTGTTTTCACTGTGTTAGTTATGATGAAAGTATTGGTGAGATTGCAAGAGATCATTGCATCGTGTGCTCAGTATACCTGACTGTGTTCGTCTACAGTGCAGTGCTGCAACCTTTGCTGCAACCGGAGTAGTTCTAAATGAAATGCTATAATCAATACAAAACGCAGTAAAAGTTTTCGGGAGGGTTTGCATGCTCATTTTATATGCAAAGATGTTAGTCAATCATAGCAGTGGGCATTTACATTGAAGTCTCAAAGCAGACACGGCCCTTCCAACTGAGCGCTCAAATCAGAGAACTAAATCCAGGGTAGAAAACGTCCATTTATATCTAAATTATAACAGTTTCTGATTGTAAGATTACAAGTGCACCTCAGGAAACATAAAATTAAAAAAAATGCATTTCATGACCCCTTTAAGACAGAATTTAATGAAGTTTCGGTTTATTCTCTGTTTTAGAACCATTTAAATTTTGTGATTGTTTTTCTGAATGTTTCAAGTCTTTCTTGTCAACTATTAGTCTTATCCTTTTGCCAATCATGTAGGCGTATGTTAAACTGATTGTGATCAGCTAGCTTTCAGGCTTACATTACAAAGTCTAAGAACTTCTGAGAACTGTCTGATCAGATAATAACTTCTAATTCGCACACTTACAGTTGCTTCCTTGGTATGGTAGGAGCCTCACAACTACGTTGAAAGGGCATTAAAATTTGCTGATTAAGTAAAGTAGGTAATTTTTATATAATTTTAAGTAGATGAGAATAAAAAGAAAGGAGAAATTTTTGTTTTAGTTCTCATGATGTAGCCTTAATATTTTCCTTAAAAACTACATTAAAAACGAATAAAAAAAATAATTCTTAATGATACAACTGCATAGTATTATTTCAGTTAAAAGTTCTTATTACACAGCTTTCTGGAATATTTGATTCTGATTGGTCAGTTGCAGCATTCAGCAGTCTGATGTTTGCTAAAATGCTGCAAATCACTCCGCTCATCCAGCACTACTTTCATTCTTTCATACCGCTTAGTCTCGTTTTATAAAAGCGCAACTGGCTTATCGATTGTACACTGAAAGAAAAAAATCAGTAGGAAAGCTGAAAAGGTACTGTTAATTTTCTATAATTTTCCAGACATTTCCCTGAACCCCTAAACACACAATATAATGCAAAAGTCAAAATACAGGGGAAACACCTGTGAAAAATCAATATAGAAAATTCTTTCATATTTCCCGTACCTTAAACCATCTGCGTTCAGTATATTAACATAATATTGTTGCAGTGCTCATCTTGTTGCCTGACTGATTGATATGTACATTGTAATTAACTATTTGGTTCTGCATCATACTTCTTTTGCAATATAACTTACAGTAATCTGGCACTGATAGGCCTACTCTATGTGCATGCTCGCCTCAGTAAACAGGAGATTAACTCGAGAGCATGGGGTTTCTCAACCTTTGTATCTAAAGGCCATATCTACTTTCCCACAGTGATGCAGGTGTTGCAGAAGGAGTCCTGGCCAGCACCAGTGCTGTACACTGTCATAAGAGAGACGTTGAGGAGACTACCCTTACAAATGAATCAGGAATTTAGTACAACTAGTATATGCTGTTATAGATACTAGGAAACAAGTACATAATGATTAGTTACTAGTACAGATTGACTGACTAATTTTAACTACTAGTCGTTATTCTTATAAGTAATAGTACCTAATGAATAGTAACTAGTAGAATAGAAAAATATACTAACCACTCTACTTAAAAAAATTAAACTAGTAACATTTAAAAAAAGATACTTGTTAGTTTAAAGGAAGAAATGTTAAAACAGCTTGCTACATAGTTTCATTTATTTATGCAATTCATATTTAACACATTAATCACGTGTTATTGATAAAAGCAAGAGACAGATTATGCTTTTTAATTTTTTCAAATGTCTTTGAGGACTCTTGTGGAGGAAATGTTATGCAAATGTAAATAGCTTTACAGAGAAGGGAGATGAATGGCATACTTAAAGGAGCAGCTGAACTGTGCAGAGCGGCCGACAAAATATTGCTCTCTGGGGACTCTGGCAGAGCTGCAGCTTTATACACCCATGCTTTTGGAAATAATGCTGGTTCCACTGTAGGACACATGCATGGCCTTAACGCAGGTCGTTTAGAGGAGGTGATCTCAACGCTGGAGGCCTGGCTTGATGCCGTTTTACACAACTCTATTGAGGGCCTGAGCAACGGTCTTGTTGCTGTATTTCTGTCTACATTATGCCCCAATAATGTGTCTGCTTCTCTTTATAAAATGCAGTCTGTCCTGCAGGGGACAGGTCATGCCTCAGACAAGATATTTGCGTGGTGTTCTGCTCTTCTAGAGGGAAAACTTTATGCTCTACCTTAACCTCTTGTCTTGACGATAGGAACCTGTCAGGCTGTGCCCAGGAACTGCAAGAGAAGCTAGAACAACTGCAAGCAAGCATGAAAGCTCACTCATCTTGACTCCATCTCCTCATGTGTGTGAGCTGCAGATGCATTTCACAATCATTTACAGTTAACTCTGAACAGCAGATGCTCTTGTCTTCTGAACTTTTAACAGGAAACCCTCAGTCATAGTTAAAAAATTCTTCTTTGTGAATTGTTTTATTTAAGTATAATGTAAAATAAATGCAGGTCATTATGCATATCATAGGTGCTTTGTAATAACTGTTTATAATCCTTGTTCTTGGTTATATGAATCAGCCTTTTGTCACTATACTGAACAAATCTGGATTTTCAAAGAATTGTTGACCAATTCAGTTTGAACTTAAATGTTTAAATTTTATCATCCATCAACTTAAGGAGGTATCTAGTGGTTTTCAGGAAAAACGTAGCTGCTTATTTGTTTCACGCTAAAGGTTATTTTAAGTTCTCAGTCATATTGTACATGGGCATGTTTGAAGTATTACTTTACACTCACTGTGTACACTTGTCACACCAGTATATATTTGTTACTTTTCTTAATAAAAATGTATGGAATATGTATGGCTCTTGACAGCATCATGTAGTTAAAAAAATGGAAAGCGTGACAGAGGAAGTCTCCTTTCTGTGCAGACAGAGAAAAGTTTTGACATTAAGTTTAGTGAATGTCAGCAAACAATTGCTGTGGCCTCTGAGCTATGCAAAGGAAATTCCCCTTTCATCTGGTTCCCCCAGGTTCATCTGACTTCTGTTTAAACCACAGTGACGATCAAAAGCAGTTTCACTTTTTTTATTTCGTTTTTCCAGGCTTGTATATAACCATAACCTATTTGCTAAGCCGCATGTTGTCAGTTCGAAGAAACATACAGTAGCCCATGTTCTCTGGGAAATGTGAAATATAACCCCCACCTCCAAATATTCTTTGCTAATTTTGATATTTTAAACCTTTCAGTCCAGAAATACCCATTCAAACAGGAAAATTTAAGTTTAAATTTTGTTTAATAATCTTGAGTGTCCCAGTATTGTCCAGTATGGTTCACTTACCTCGGTGCTCGTGCTGGGGCTGGTGTTGTTTGGATGCCGATTTTGGAAAGTTTTTGCTGGGATGGGCATTTCAAAAAAATCTGAAATTCGCTTTTGCGCCATTATCTCCTTGTATCAAAGTTAATCTTGTTCGCATTCTGTATAGTTCATGTCTGATACCACGCGCCAGCGTCACGTGTTCATGAGGATTAGGCTAATCATCCCATATAGAAAACATCACAAGTAAAATGAATCATGTTTATAAAGATAAACATGGGTTTATTATAGCCCACTTACAATTTACATTTCAGAGATCATTACAAATAAATTATTAAATGCTAAAACTGAATAAATTTAAATGAACAAACTTGGCGTTGCATTTGCAACCATGTGAAAACAGGGGGTGCTGCAGCCCCCTCAGCACCCCTACTTCCCGCGTCCCTGCCTACAACCAAACTTTTTGGAATTTGGATGTCACAAAGTTTTTTTTCTTACAAGACGATTTTTGAATTAAGACCGACGCGTTGCATAACGTAGACATAAATAATTATTAGTAAGCCTATTTTTTTACGAGAGATTAAGCGAGCATCTGGCCAAACCTATAAATTCGTCGTTGTTCCTATAATATTAGCTCCTTAACGCCTTAAATGTTGTCTTTTCTCTATGTTAAAGTGTTTTCTTTTATGTTTCGTTTCGTCTTTCACTTATGGGGTCGGCATATTGAGTTTCGGAAATAGCTTCTTTTTCGGGACTAAGCTTTTCTTCAACCAGACAGTCGCAACTTTTGACAGTTGTTTTTGAATAAAGAGTCGGAACATTCATCTGTGGTCCATCTAAATCGTGTTTAATATGCGGTAAATCTCAGAACGGTTTGACTCGTTGAAGTCAGAAGTCGACAGAAAGTGCGTGGACTGCCCCTTACGAAAAATAGCTTCACAGACAAAACTAGTACAATCAGTAGTCAATTCTCAGCCCCCCACACACAGGATTTTAAACCAACCACACCCACTGCAAAAACTCCCATTTTCTCCTTTTGTCCCCTCACTGAGGCAGAAGTATCAAAACTTCTCCTCTCCAGCCATCCTACAACATGCCCTCTGGACCCAATCCCCTCACACCTTCTCCAAGCAATATCTCCTACACTTTTACCAACACTCACACATATCATCAACACATCTCTCCTCACAGGCACTTTCCCCACTGCATTCAAGCAGGCTCGGATAACCCCACTGCTCAAAAAACCTACATTAAACATACAGAATTTCCAAAAAACACAAGTGAAGAAGAAACCGAAACAACAGATGCTTCCACATGTATTCTAACACGACCATCAGACATAAAACAGTATCAAAACTATGCAACATTATGGAATAAAATGTGGACTATTAGAAAGTGGGCCAATTTAGTCCCAAGGAGTATTGAAATAGTACACTTACAAGTATACTACTAGTACACTGATATTTGTATACTTACTACATAAAATATACTTAAAAATATACTTGAACTTTACTTAAGTATACTTACTAAAATAAACTTGAAGTATACTACTTTTTGGTAAGGGGCACCCAGACACACAGTGCGTACACCATCATTAAGAGGTGTGTACAATCTCATATATTATTGGACGATACAATGTTGTGCTGCTCTATTCATGAAAATTGTAATTGTTTTAAATTGGTGGCTGCAGGAGGACGTTTCTGACACTTTTTTTTCTAGTGCTTGTTTTAAATTACTTTCAATTACTAACAAACAATAATCCAACATGGACTAGTATCTTCTTCAGTTTTTTTAAAAATAAATATTTATTAGATAACCTGCTAGTACTTATTCCAACAGCGACTAGTATCTGTTCATTTAATCACTAATGCTAATTTACTTGATACTAGTATTCGTTTGCTGCCAGTCACTATCTAAACAATGACAAGTAACTGGTAACAATTTTACTCTACCAGTAAGATTTGTAATTGAACTATAAATTAGCTTGACTACAGATTATACCAAAAGGAAATATGTTTAAGAAATGTTACTAGTAATAAAAGCAACATATTCTAGTGTTACTAATTAAAAATGACTAGGATCTAATAAATAAATACTAGTGTAAAGGAATCTGTTCTCTGTAGTTAGGTGGAATGCTAGTCCACTACGGAACTCCAGCAAGAAGTGCGACAGGAGACAGATGGTTGTTCAATGGTTTATATCTTCAGGATGTGTCACTTTACATCATCCAGCATTGTACAGTTCTTAAATTAACAGAGGTGGCAAGTGTGGTTTAGTCTGAAATAAACAAATAAGGCTCGCATCAAGTTCAAGACATTGATGCTTGCATATAGAACAGCCACAGGCTCAGCACCCGCCTACTTCCACTCACTACTACGAATCTACATCCTCTCCAGAAGTCTGAGATCCGCTAGTGAGCGACGCCTCGTGGTACCATCACAGAGAGGCTCAAAATCACTCTCCAGAACATTCTCGTTCACCGTTCCTGGCTGGTGGAATGATCTTCCCACCCCTATCCGGAATGCTGAATCTCTGACAATTTTCAAGCGACAGCTGAAAACTCATCTCTTTAAACGCTACTTGACTTCATCTTAAAAAAAAAATTTTTTTTAAATAAAACTTTCTCTTATTCCTTCCCTTTTCTAGCTTGTACTTATTTGAACAATGCATAAAACGAGATATTTCAAGCACTTCCTGTGTCTGTTTGCCTCTTTAAGAAGAATCGCTTTATGTATTCCCCAATTGTAAGTCGCTTTGGATAAAAGCGTTGGCAAAATGACTAAATGTAAATGTAAAACAAATGTCTCAACCTGAGGGTTGCACACGGTTAATTCTAGAGCTAACTAGAGCTCTGGCCTGTTTGCTCTCTGACGCACAAAATCCTAAAGGTCCTCAGCTTTATCTGCAGGCATGTCATGGAAATAAATCAGAAACAGTTAGACTGGTTAAAGAAAGACAGACTCAACATGTGGAACTATTAATTAAAGCCTTTTACCAGCAAATGTCTCCAAGATATTCCATTCTCCATAGTAAGCAGCAGATGGAGAAAGCATCAAGTCCTACACGGGCAAGTGAAGACATCGATGCCTCTAAAGCTGTTGAGTTTTTACTTGCCATTTCACCAGATGACATCCAAGTAAGAGAACTAGGTGAATCACAGA